CTTAAAGTTCCACTCCATGCAGCTAAAAACATTTTTGCAAGTAGCAGGTCTGGGGAGGCCAAAGCTCCAGGAGATGGTTTGCAGTGGACAGGGAGTCAGAAGGGAGGGTTGCGCTCCCGGCCAAGGCTGGGGCCATGTGTCAGGAGGAACTTCATGCAGCTCAACCAGGAGAAGTGCCAAGTCCTGCCCTTGGGGAGGAACATTCCGGGGCACCGGGACGTGCTGGGGGCACCTGGCTGGGACGCGGCTCTGCAGAACAGCCCCAGGGTCCTGGTGAAGACCAGGCTGACCAGGAGAACCAGGAACATCCCCTCGCTGTCAAGAAGGGCAACGGTGTCCTGGGCTGCACTGGACAAAGCGCTGGCAGCAGGTCCAGGTCGTGGTCCAGTGCTGGGTTCACCAGAGCAAGAGAGACATGGACACGCTGGAGAGAGTCCAGTGAGGGGCCACCAAGATGCTGAACGCCTGGTCGGGACTCTCTCTGCTCTGAGGAGTGGCCAGAGAGCCCAGGCTGCTTGGCCGGGAGCAGAGTGGGCTTGGGGGGTCTCACCCATGGGTCAAGCACCCACAGGGACGGTGCCAAGGAGACAGCCGGGCTCTGCCAGGAGGAGCAGCGTGGCCAGCAGGGCTAGAGAAGTGATTGTCCCTCGGACTTGGCACTGCTGAGGCCACAGCTTGAGCCCTGTGTTCAGGTTTGGGCACCGCAGTATAAGGACACTGACGGGCTGGAGCAGGTCCAGAGAAGGGCAACAAAGCTGGGGAAGGGTCTGGAGAACAAGTCTAGTGAGGAGCAGCTGAAGGACCTGGGGCTGTTCAGCTGGAGCAGAGGAGGCTGAGGGGAGACCTCATTGCTCTCTGCAGCATCCTGGCAGGAGTGGGGAGCGAGGTGGGGTCGGTCTGTTCAACCAAGTAACAAGTGATGGGACAAGAGGAAATGGCCTCAAATTACACCGGGGGAAGTTTAGGTTGGACATTAGGAAAAACTGCACAGAAAGGGTTATCAAAGACTGGGCCAGGCTACCCAGGGCCGCGGTTGAATCCCCATCCTTGGGTGTGCTCCAAAGCCGTTTAGATGTGGTGCTCAGGGACGTGGGTCAGAAGCGGTAGAGAACAGTTGGACTTGATCTTGAAGATCTTTTCCAACCATAATGATTTTATGATTCTTTACCCAGAACCAACCAGATGTGGGTTGGACCTGCTCTAGGGTTTGGGCCAGGTGAGCTCCAGAGGTCCCTGCCAACCTCAAGCCATCGGTGACTCAGGGAAGAAGCAAGAGCAAGACAAGATCAGAGCTGGTCCCCTCCAGAAGAGCTGCCAAGCACCTGGGGACGCTGCCAGGCAGCTGTGACAGCGCTTCCCACCAGGCACACGAGACACCAGCCTCGAGGGGACCTTCCTTTGGGTGGTTCACCCCCTTCCACCCCCAGGAATTACCTGGAGGGCTTCGCTCACCACTACCATGCTCGTTTGTGCCTCTCACAGGCCAAGGCATCGTTACCTTTGATGCTCATTAAGGAACTACAAGATTTAACACATCCCCACACAGGAGCACAGCAGGAGCCTCTCCTATGCAAACCCCTCCTTCTCCCCAGCGTGGCCCCCCCCAGCTGCCATCCCCACACAAGGCACGTTCAGCCTCGTGTCCTTCACACGAGGGTTTGGGTTGGGGGTTTTTTGGTTTTTTTTTAAATTTTCCCTCCCATCAAGCTGCAAACGTGGTTTCCTGGCAGCAGCACCAACAGAGTGCATCTTTGTCTGCCTCCGGCTGCCAGGAGCTCGGCCCAGGAAAAACTAGTTTATTCAGGGGGGTAAAAAAATAAAAAACGCAGAAAAAAAAAAAAAAAGGCATTTTCTCCACACAGGCTGAACAGAAGCTGCACAGTGCAGCACAGAGCAACATTTTGCTCCCCATCCGACAGCTCTGGCTTATAAATGAGCACTTTATCCCCAAAAACACCCCGCTGAGGAGCCTTTTTTTAGGAAGGGCAGGGTCTGAGCTACCTTTGCCCTGTGCAATGGCTTCCCCTCACTAATCACAGCTCGTTATCTTTGCGACCGCTTACTGGCCATCAGGGCATTAAGCTCCTAATGAGACAAGGCAAACAAAAAGCCACCAGGCTCTCCTTGCCTGGGTGACACCCTCAGCCTTCAACATTTTCTTTCCCTGCCCATGGGGAGGGATGCCTGTTTGTGCAGGCACCAAAAGCAACCGTAATAATAACCATCATCATCATTATCATAATAATACAACATAACTTTAACGTATATGGAACCACACGTAAATCAGATCATGCCCCAACAGGGCAAACGGACCCTCGGAGCGACTGAACGCGACAGCTGTTCCCCAGCAAGAGGGAAGGGACAGGCAGAAGTTTGAAGAAGCTCATTTATTCCAAAAATACTGCACTTTGTTGTCTTAAATAGTCTTTGGTTTCACTTATTGCTCTCGCACTTCCTGTTCCTCAAGCATTACAAAAATGCTCGAATGGAGCAACTCTGTGGACCTGAAGCCCAGCCTAGGACTTGAGTTACTTTCTGCTTACGTGGGTTTTTTGGCGGGGTTACTCCACTGCTTTTTGCCCCAGCCTCCTCTCTCAGATGCTGCGTAGCTCATATTTGCAAACTGGGGATAGAGACTTACTTTATAGTTTCAATTTTTTGAGAATTTCCTGTTTTATGCAAGAGTGCCAAGCAACAGAAAAGTGCGTTATAGAGAACAGTAAAGCCTTCTCCTAAGCAACCCATCGTGCCAAAAAAAATAATAATGATTAAAAAAAATCTCGCTTTTGGGGGCGGGAATCTTACCTTTTGCGCGTCTCCAGTGAAATAGGCAATGATCAAGGTGGGCAGGATCATGAACAGCGCGTTGTAATAGAGCAAACCGTATTTCCCCAGCTCCTAGAAATAAGAAACATCTGTGTGTTTAAGTTGGTTCCAAGTGAGAATACAAAACCTCATTCACGCGGCTACTGAAGGCTGGGGCTGGCGAGTTAAATCCACACAGAGTTCTCAGAGGCAGAGGAGCTGGAGGGCGTATTTTTTTTTTATACATATATATATATATATAT